GTATTCAATAAAAGCTCTAATCTTCAGTTCCAAATGTTGAGAAGAATTGAAATCATGAAAAGAAAAATCGTCGATTCACTTGGATATTCTAAACATTATTGATATTCATAATTTATAAAAATATATGTTAGTTTCATTGTTTATTACAGCCATAATTCTATTATTTATCATTCTTATCATTATTATTCTATATTATATTGAACCGAAGAAATCTTCACATTTAATTATTTATAGAAAATTAATCTTCTGTCTGAGAAAATAAATGATATTTAATCACTGACCGATATTTTTTCATGGTTAATGTTATGGTAATGTTGCTCGTTATGGAACGTTGCCGGAAACTCAATAAATACACCTGGGGAGTGTAGAGGAAATTCGACAACGCTGGAGCCCCAATAGTATGACAGTAAGTCCTCCACGGGGAGATTCGAACCGCGTATGGTAACCAGCGTAGAATTATCCGATTTCGTCCATTCAAGTTTCTGTGGAGTCGTCATCAAATAGGGAAGTTCCCATCTTCTTTGCATGAAAATGGAAAGAAAATGCAATCAACAAAATAGAAAATGAAGAAGGTATACAGTAATTTATTGGGTGCGACCGGGTACGTCAGATAATCCGGGAAAAGGTTTCGCCAGATGGCTGACCTTCTCCGTTTGAGGTAATAGCCACCATAAAAGTTCTAAGTGATCCAAGCACTTGTCACTGCCCAAAAATTTGAAGATTTTATTTTGCATTTTTCGGTGATTTGGAATAATATAAATTATTTGTTCTTTCGTCAGATGATAGTCCGATAATTGAAGAGTTGTTCTACAAAAATTCAGTGAAATCGGTCTTGTTCAAAGGGTATTTAGACAGTCTCGAAAAGTCCCATTTCAAGGGAAAATCATAGTTTTTAATTCAATAACAAATTGATTGAAAAATGTAAAAAAAGTCTGAGTTCTTTTCATCGTTTACATCAAGTAATCGATGGAGATTCATAATAATTTCAATCAATTCTGATGAAATCGGATGCATATAAACTTTATGCACTCTCTCGCATGTACTTAGTCATAAGAAATTCAAAAGCTTGTTGAGGTCTCATAAAAGTGTTTTAAAAATTTGAAAAAATTCACATTGCTTCTTCATATCGTGAACTATCGTTCTGAGACAGGAGGAAGTGAAAATTTGAAATGTATATTCCGTGGATCCCTCTAGGGAGTATATTGGAAATCCGTCGATAACGGATTCGCACTGACACACTCGCTCGGCTGACCATTCGAAGGCTCACGAATGTTCTCGCCCCACCCCTCACACGCACAACTACGCAACGCGCTCGACTAACTTTGGTTCGAGATGTGATTTCGCACACCACGCGTACCTTGACCGCTCAGTTAACTTCTCACTAATTATCGTCCAGCGCATTATAGTTCAACTCACTATTGTTCTCAGTGCTCAGCTCATAATTTGTGTGTTCAACATCTGACTCATTGATTGTTGTAAATATTAATTAAGTGACAATATATAGTGTTTTTCGTGAAAACCACGTACACGCGTCGTTTCTCTGCTACTCCGGTCACCCACTCCCGAAAATCCATCTCTATCTCATCCATTCCTCATTTATTCCACCAATTCCGAGCCTCATCAAATAGGATCAGACATGATAGTCAAAAATGAAAGTGAAGGGTTACAAGACCCAAAAAATTTGGGTTTTTGCGTCATGAGGACCAAAAAATTTGGTTGCAGATATGGATGTACTATGCAATTCTCTTTGCATTCTTCTAGCTTTTATGACATGAAAGGTTGGTATTGTGGATGGACGCAATCGGCAGAGCGGTTCTTGAGATATTCAACCTTTTGTGTAAATATATTTCTTCAAATATCTCATGAATCACTGGATGGATTTCAATTTTTTTTTGAAACTACTTGTCTCGGTGGCTACTATTGAGATCAATCAAAATATGTATACTTGTCCTTACAAAGATTCAGATATGTTTTCGCTTTTTTGTTTTTAAATTTTTTTCATTCTTGTGCGCACGGTATTTTGAGAAGAAAGAAAAGTAGTCAGTTGAAATTTGGTGTGATTATGGCTCTTACAATATTGAAGATTCGTATTTTGGATAGGGGTAATCGGCCGAGCAGTTTCGGAGATATTTAAGCTTTTGTATAAATCGATTTCATTAAAAGGTTGAATATCTTCCTATAGACATCTTGTAGCATGTGGTTACGGTTGTATGCTTGTCACAAGGACAGAGAATTGCTGCAGATCCATTCGGAAGCGTACTACAAATGGAAATTGGTAGAAATGAAAAAATAGAAAAGGAGTAATAACGCAAAAAGGAACGGTCACATGCCTTCTGTCAGATGGGCTCGAACCCCTGCTTATTTACTAATGGATCTGGCTTTGTAATCCTCATGACCTTCCTTTTATCTTCAAATAGCTCGACCCTTCGGCCGGGCTACGCTGTACTTTTGGATATTTTCAGTTTTTAAATTTTCCAACTAAATTGCATGGAAAAAATTAGAAAACATTCATACCCAGTCAGTATAATCAAAATTAAATTTCGCAAAATATTGATATTTTTTCAAACTTTTCCGTCTTATAAATAAATAATAAAACTTGTTTACAAAACGGTGGATTATTTTTTATGAGGTGTCAACAAAATTCTTGATTTTTTCACATCTAACGAAAAAAAATTCAGATTTTAATCTTTGATTACAATGGAAATGTTGATTTTCACATAAGACACTGGGTTAAATCCTGATTTTTAAAAAATCACTTCTCTTATTCTTCCTAATTCTCTCTCTCGTCAACGATTATATCCTCACTCGAGTGCTCGCAAAAGGCAATTTGGTAATAAAAAAACCACGTGTACCTTACTCCGCAGCTTTAACCTCCCAGTCACTCGAATTTCCTCCTTCAACCCCACAACGGCTGAAACTCAGGTCCCCCACGTTTCGTTCACCCCTCGAGGATACTCTCCGTTCTCATGGGCCTGTTCCGACGATCTTCCAGCAACAACCTCGACAAATTCCCTAACAAATTGCTTAGCCCTTCTCAACACGGGCTCACGTTATCTGAATAGAGCTTTTTTCGCCATTTATTAATGATTTCCAGTGCAATAATTTATATACCAAGTGCATGCACCCATCACCCATTGCTCGACATATATAGATGATGGATTTCAGCGGGGATTGGGTCGAAGGGGTGTTGATAACTCCATCCGGCCCTTAAATTCGAGCACATATTTTCGCGGAGGGATTCACTGATTCTAAGGTTCGAGGAATCTTAAATTCTTCTCCCCTTACCTGACCATGTCTGACCTTCCCAGAAATGTGGGTAAAATTTGGGAAAATAAAAATTATTTTGTAACAGAAAATCAACACATAATTAGTACTTCAGTATAGTATAATCATTTTTCCTAATTGCCCATAGTGGTCTGCTAGATAAACTTCACAAACTTCACAAAATCAAACTTTGGGGAAAAATAAAACTTCTCCAAAATATTGAAACAGAAAAATTTCCAGTTAACTTCAAAATGAAGTATACGTTTCCCTACTGGTATCTACCAATCCTACACTGAGAGAAAAACGACAAAGTTCTCAAAGAACTCTTACTTGTGCCAAGAAAATAGTTTTTTGAAAATTATCAAAACAGGATTTTTTTGTGCCAAACATGCAGAGAGTGCATCGGAATGAAAAGTTTTTGTCGGAAAAATAGATTTAGTAGTTAAAAAAAAAATTGCATTCTCTGTACACCCAAGAAATGTCATTTCTAGCACTACTCCTTCGTTATTCGATACTCCCATACGTATTTTGCTCCCGAAAAATCTTTGTTTTATGCGAAACAAAGGATAGTAGTTTTTCGTTTCGGCTGTCTAATAATCACAGACAAGAAATGAACCCTTAAATGAAACAATAATAATATGATAGCAATCTTGTAACTTAGAGATAAAATATTTGTTGTAAAATTTTTCTCTATATGAGATATTTTCATCCTGAAGAGGCATCGTCTGATGTGAATTATCCACCTCTTCAGCCAAATATTTCGTTGCTGTCGAAAGCAGAACAATTATTCATCTTTGAGACTTTCAAATTCGAACCAAACAAATTCTTTTTTGGCAATTTTCAACTAGCGATTTTGGTGGCCCAAACAAGACTTGTTTTTCTTTCAGTGTAGGATCCGAGGAATGCAATCCCCTCCACCCTCACTAAGTCGTATTTGACATCCTGGAAAATAGGGGAAAAATTCTGGAAAATATGAATTATTTTTCTGCAGAAAATAAGCACATATCTAGTACTTCCCTATAGACACATTGGTCTGCTAGATGAATGCCCCAAGTTGGAAAATCAAATTTTCTACCAAAGTATTCAGGCAGAAATTTTTTTTTCGCCATTTCGGCCTTACGGCCTCTACGCGTCCGTAACGCCCTACAGGCGTTATTACAAAAAATATTGTTTGGCACACGATCTAAAAAAGATTTTCTGGCGAATAAGAGTTTGCAGCCCGAGACGAAGGCGAGGGTTGCAATCATATGAGCAATATAATATAGTGGACTTTAAGTAATGACGAAATGAAAAATATAATATAATATAATAAATAAATATATATAATATAATGGACTTCAAAGAAAAGCACATGTTTCCCCGAGCACATTCACTGATACTAGCGCCCAAGGAACCTGCTATACCCCGATCCTCCCCTGACCATATTTGATGTCCTAGGAAATTCGGGAAAAATCCAATTATTTTCATGCAGAAAATTCGGACATTTAGTTCGTTACTATTTTGCACTAATTATCGCCACTCGATCCCATTGGTCTGCTGATAAACGCTCCAAACTCTAGAACCAATTTTTTGGCAAAACTATTTGAGCAGAATTTTTTTTGTCTGCACAAAAAGAGCACCTAAAAAGCCCGTATTTTGGAGCTAATATCCGACCCGATCTGATGCACCTGGGGTGGTAATTTCACTGAGCTAGAATACACTTGTACAAATACTGTTTTATCTTTCGTTTTTTAAAGGCTGATGAAATCTGGAATCAATCCTTTCGACTCCCAGGAGGCAAAGCCCTACAAGAATGATCCGGAAATATTAGCAATGACGAACTTGGTCGTTAGTTATCAGAATAATGACATCAATCAGTTCGAGTTGATTCTCAAGCAAAATAGGAATAACATCATGGACGATCCATTCATCAGAGAACACATTGAAGATTTATTACGTAATATACGGACTCAGGTAATTGATGAATTATTTACAAGATCTAATTAAATCATTGAAATTATATTTCGAACAATTTGATGATGATGAATGATTGTTGCAGGTTCTGATCAAGCTCATTAAGCCTTACACACGTATCCACATACCTTTCATCAGTAAAGAGTTGAATATTGATGTATCTGAGGTTGAGAGTCTCCTCGTTTCTTGTATTCTGGATAGTACCATTCGAGGTCGTATTGATCAGGTAAAATTTGTTTTTTTGTGTATACTCTCGAAAGGAATCAATTTCGAGGAGTTTATCGAGGTTCTTTCTGGTAAAAGGTTCTTTGAGATTTCTCCTTAACATGACTGATTATCTAGAACTCATGATTCTAATATTAGATACTTGAATTCAAGTATGTCGTATTAATAAATTCCAGTTGACTCGTTGAGTGTAGCGGAGTGAAATAAATTTTCAATTCCAAAAAAAATTATTCATCATTGACAATTTATTATATGAAGTTCAACTTTAATGAGCGTAAGAAATTAATCTATCAAATTTTGTATTGAAATAGTTTTTTAAATATTGGAAAAAGTGGTTATTAAATGATTAAACACACTGGGTATATAGATATATATAGTTTATTAAGGCACGTCTCTCGTCGATGCTTCTCAGTCAATGTGCTTGGCACGAATGTGGCGTGATCGCCACGGCAATGGCTTGGGACGGGATCGGCGCATGCCACGATCACGTCCCTCTACCATAACGTACAGTATGAACGTAGAGTTAACGTATAAGATATATATATGGTCTGTGAGGATCAGAGCTAGAGCTACTTTCAATACTCCCTCCCGACTGCTTCCGGATCCTCAGTTTCTTGGGAGTTTCTTAATCATGTACTTCTTCCTTTTCCCTAAACAAACATATAAACAGCAATTAAATATTTACATTCATCATTTTATCAACTTGACGTTTATGCAAATCAAACGCCAGAGGTTTAGTAAACACGTCGGCTAATTGATTTCTCGAACTAATCCATTTAACTTTTATCAAATTAAGCTTCACACATTCTTTGATTTGGTGAGCTTTCACGTCAATTATTCACGTCTTAATTTATTCCTCCCACTAATCTCTGTGCTATTCGTCGCTGCCATGTTGTTACAGCATAACGTCATTGGCAACTGGGGTGGAAAAGTTAGTTTTAAAGAGTTGAAGATAGATAACAACTCTTGACTCGCTTCACTCATCGCGACATATTCAGCCTGGCAAGTAAATAGAGCAACGTACGATTGTTTGTGAGCTCTCCAAATAATTGTGTCACCATACAGTTTAATTACATAACTGCACGTTGTTAGAGATCCTTTGCAGTCAGCGAAACTAGCATCAGAGTATGCTTCAATCGCGTCAGTCTCACCTGCATATCTCAGACCCAGAGCAGATGTACCTTTCAAGTACCTCAGTACTCTTTAAACCATTTTACAATCCTCATCTGTTGGATTCATCTGGTGTCTTGTCGTATTGGCTAGATATAACAAGCTACCAACAACCTCTCTATATGGACAATTCATCTTTGCATTTCGTGGAACAAAAATCTCACTATCAAAATCATACTCTTTCTGTTTTCGCTCGTAGTTAGACGCCTGCTGCTTCTCCCAGCTGCTTCTAATTTACGTTTAAATACCCATTTTTAATCAATTATATTAGCTTTCTGACTTATTTTGTTACTGATGGGTCAATCTACGATTTTCCAGACTTTATTTTTATCCATTGAATTTAACTCGTCCTCTACTGCTGCAGCCCAGTCATTCTTGTCTACTCTTTGCATAGCTTCTTTAAAACTTATTGGATCTGAATTTATGTCAGCCAGAAGAGCATGACATATCTCGTCAGTTGAATTGTCCAAGCCTATTTCATCCTCACTCTGTGATAAAGACGCCAAAAGTAATCCTGAATTCAAGTTCTCATCGATTGGTAATTTCGGGGGATCTGTTTCGCTAGATGATTTACTTTGTTCTTTTATTTCTGACCCTGGGTGTACCTTCTTAGGTCTACCTCTTTTCCTCTTAGATACTCCCTCCGATTTTAATACCCCTTCCAGATCATTCTCACTCTTATCAAAGACTACAAACCAATCACTTTTATTTATTACTTCTTGAGCATCAGGAGAAACCTCAATTTCACTTCTACCATATTTATCACCATCAACTTTCTCTTCATTGAATCTCACATGTCTACTTTCATAGAATTTTCCATCCTCGGGTCTTAGCAAAATATAACCCTAGGTGTATATCCTACCAAGACACCCCTCATACCTACTGCCCTGAATTTCGGTCCAGTTTTCCTCTGGACTTTCATGTACGCTAAACTGCCGAATCTTTTAATGTGGTTAATTTCGAAACTATGTCCTGGTGCAAACTCTTCCAGTGGTGTTTTCATCCCATTTGATTTGTGAGGAGTTCGATTGTACGCGTATACAGCAGCAGACAGAGCCAGATCCCACATGTTCTCTGGTAATTTTGCATCAAACATATACGCTCGAATCTTCTTCTGAATTGTCTGATTAAACCGTTCTGCGACCCCATTATGTTCAGGAGTGTCAGGACTTGCCAATTGTAACTCTGCACCCAAACCCTTCAACACTTCAATTGTTTGACCTCCAGTAAATTCAGTACCCTGATCTGACCTATGATAACAAAGCTTCGCATCATGATCCAGTAGATTTCTACCACTCCTAACAAACATTTCTAAACACTGACTAGTTTGACTTTTAGTTTTCATTGGGTACGCCATAGCGAATCTGGATTTGTCATCTATGAATACTGATATAAACCTGTATCCTTTCGGATGTGAGGCTGGGGTTATTGGTCCCATCACTTCAGAATGTATTATTTGCAAGGGTTCAGTTGCTCGATTTCTTACTTTGGGGAATGGCAATCTGTTAAATTCTGACGCCATACAGACCTCACAATCCGAAAGAGACTCGTCAAAAATCACATCCTTTAATTCTTTATTATTAGGAAATTTTAATTGAATGGCTTTGAGATACGCTATTGACGCATGTCCAAATCTAACATGCCACAGCAAGGCTTTATAGTTTCCCTGTATTTTATCTTTTTCGTCTGTAAAAGTATCAAAACTTTCAGTACTAGTTTCAAATCATAATTCATCTGCATTATTTAACTTTCTGTCCGAAATTGAAAAATCAAAGTTTGATTATACATGTTGATCAAGAGCCGGTTTAGACAAAATGTCAGTTTTTAAACTTTCACTAGTCTCCACCTCATCCAGTTCATTATTTTTAACTTCTTTTAGCAAATCCTTCCTCCTGTCATTATTTTCAATTGAATTATTTTTGTTTGTTTCTTCATTTAACCTTGCTGTAACACTTCTAGTCATCTGTCTTTTTATTTCTGCGTTATCACCTACCATGTTCACTATAACTCTTCTGTTCACATGTCTTTGTAGATTTTTATTGACTTGACTTTGTTTATTCATTTATAAATAAATAATTCGTTTGACTCTGGATTGAAAATGTCTATTCGTTTGTCATCTAGATAAATCGCGAGACCCATTTCTGCGAATCGTCTTAATGACAGCAAGTTAGCTTGAAGGGCATCTGCAAACAAAACCTCGTTTATCTTAAATTTCTGACCATTTAACAATTCTATTTCTATCTCACCCACTCCCTCCGTTCTTAAATCTGCATTTTCATTTTTATTAGCACATTTAATCACTCCTTTACTTCTTTCATCAATTGATTTAAATATCAATTTTGAATTTGTTAAATGTTCGGTTGCCCCAGAGTCAGCTAGAAACTTTGCGATGAACTTGTCTTGCTGAATTTTTACATCTTCATTCATGGCATTGCCTTTGCATAAATTATTAGTTTTGAACATAATTGACGTACCCTTTTCTTTATCATTTGCTCCTGACCCTTTATTCTGCTCCTTCTTGGTTGGTTTCAATTGAGCATTGTTGTTTGAAGATCCATATCCTCCCCTACCCCTCGTCCTGTCGAATCTACCCCTTTTCACATTTCCTGACCCAGTCTCGTCCTTATTTTCTATTTTCCTCTTCAATGAACCAATTGCCCTCCCAGATCCACGAAAACCTCCTCTACCACGTGAATAATTTAACCTAGGTACAGACTCTGGCTTGCAATTTAACTCACCCGACTCAGGACACTCGAACCTGGTGTGCCCATACTTGTGACATTTGTAGCACATTTTCCCTTTTCCTTTACCGGGGCAGTTCTTCCCAATGTGACCCTTGTCGCCGCAACTATAGCACCTTACTTCGCTCAAGGTCATATTTGCTGCCCTAACCTCACCCACTCCAGTTTCGGTTTGCTTTCTCGTCGCCTCTTCCTGCATAATTACCAGTTTCAATTGTTCATAAGTTGGAGGGTTTTCCCCTTTTATTTTAGCTATGGACGGCAAGTACTGTACTATTGGTACAGCTTTAATAACTGCATTATTGAACGCGTCTCTAATTTCGTCTGGGGACAAAGGGTTAGCATCTTCTGAGGTTTCATATTTACGAATGGCCTCCTCAAACTTATCACAAAACTCTGTTGCTGTCGTCTGACCAATAGCATATTTCATGGTTGAGATCTCCTGTCTCACCGTGTACGAGGAAATATTGCTTTCAAATCTTTTTATTTCTTTTAGTTTATTTAAAATTTCAATTGGATCTTGAATATTGACAACCTTTGAATGATAGTTTTTATCGATGTGATTAATTAAAATATCTCTAACTTTGTATTTCTGATCTTCAAGAACTTTTTTATCTCCTTTAAATTCACTTTTATCTTCGAGAATGTGAAGAAGTTTATGAGACCTAACCTCAGACTTGAAGAAGTCATAGAAGTGTTCAAATCTAGTGTTGGAATCTAATTTATATTCTCTTTTTACAGCTGACTCTTTGTTCATAAAGCTTTGTTTAATAGAGTCAGCAACCCATTTGACACTTTCATCCTGATTGCCTCCTCCAATTTGACTCAGAAATTGTGATTTAAATTCATTAATCTGCTTTTTAATTAATTCCCTAGTTTTCTCATCCAATTTGTCCGTTTCATTCTCATTTAATTCATTGACAACTTTAATGTTCTCGTCCAATAGCTCTTCAGAAGACTCTCCAGACTCAGCCCAGACCATTAAGTTTTCCAGATTTGTTTCAATTTTGGTTAGTCTTTCTTCCTTATTATTTTTTATGTCACCTAATTCTTTAACTACGTCATTGAGTCTGTCCCAGATAAACCGAGT